GTCTGCAAAAGTACCGCACTTTTCCATCTTCGAGATCGAGAAAGGAAGGAAAGGAGCTCGGACACATTTCGACCAAACATCACCGTGATCTGGGTCAGTTACACACCCTTCTAGACTTGGCACACCACCCAGCACCCACCAGCGGACATCCTCGACCTCGAGTTCTTCGCGCGTTGCCCTTTTGCGCCTGGAGGTAAAGTACTAAAAGCTTAACCTCCTCAACATTTCAACGTCTCAACGTCTCACCGACTCCTGCAGACTGTCCTGCCGAACACCTCATCCTGCATCACGCTCGTCTCCCATCATCCACTGAGGTGACGGCGAGTAGCGAGCACGGCAGCGTCTGGTGCCGTTCCTCGGACGCACAACAGTTGACTTCTCGAGCCAGTGAGTAGCTTGCCTTCTCCAAGTTGCCGGCCTGGGGAAGCGTCTCCCCGCTTGTCGCATCACCGTCTCCCGTCTAGTCGGTCGCATTCGCACACGCTCTGCAGTTGTGCTTCGGCCCCCGGGAGGTCATTGGCCCTTTTAGACCCGTGCTGTTTCGGCAACCCACAGTTGGGTCACCGGCTCTTTTGTCCGCCTGCTCTCCCGTGCAGCCATATTCAGCGCTCTGACCATTGGTAAGGAGACAACAGATCATCAAGGACGGACCTGCCGAGAGTCTGGGCTACTTTTTAACCATCCACGTTGCGCCCACCAGTCGCACAATCTTATTGCAGTACAAGGCGTCTACTCGGTCTGTGACTTTCCACCATCGCACTTTCTGCGTCGCTTGGGCCCTCATCTCCGCACTTACGAGGCCCTCACCTCCGAGCTTACCATCAGCACCTCATCGCTCCTGCCGTCAACTTGAACTGTGAAGTCATCAGTAGGAGTTATGGAATCAACAGATCAGCATTCGGTCGAGGTACGTGAAGGGAATCCGCCGGTCGTCCCTGCGAACAGCGAGGCATCGGTCGAGAACAACACCAAACCAGCCGGAGCCGAGAAGAAAGCCAGCGAGCGGGTTAATGGCAAGCCAAAGGACAAGAAGTCTGAAAAGAAGTCGTCCAAGAGCAAGCGGAAGAAGGACAACGACGCCTCGGAGTCTTCCGCCGAGAGCGAGACCGATGACGACACTCGGAAATCCGACTCCGCCTCGGACTATGACGATAGCTCTGGCGAGTCCGAGAGCGAGTCCAAGAAGAAACAAGTGACAAAAAGACGTCACGAGGCTGGCAGGTCCAAGAAGAAGTCGCGGGCCAAGAAGTCGAGGAAGTCTCCCAAGTCTGACGAGTCTTCATCTTCATCCAGCGAGTCTGACTCGGACGCTTCCCAAGCCGATAGCGCCGATGGTTCCGAGGATGAACTCAGCCAGAAAGAGACCATCAAACAGCTCCAGCTTCTCCTAGCGCAGCAGCAGCAACAGCTGGGCATGCCCTTGTCTACACCACCACAGATGCAGTACCAGAGGCAAAGCTCGCTTCCGGGTTACAATTTTGTGCCTGCTCGCCAGTACTCCAACGACGACTATGACCATGGCGGGAATCAGGGGTTTCCTCCTCCTCGCAGTTCAAGGAGAGGCTCGCGTTTGGCCAACCCCTCAGGTGGGAGAGGTAACTATGGTCTGGGCGATGTTGATGCCGAAGTGGCAAAGCTGATGCTTGATCTCAATCCTCTCGGGGATCGTAAACGGCTGAGTAAGGAGAAGAAGAGGCAGAAGAAGAAGCAGGAGGCGGCAAAGCTCGACTACAAACGCGTTGACCAGGTTTGGGACACCTCCATACACAACTACAAACTCCAGGATACGGCCGAGGGTTTGGTTGACTCGCAGTATCACGATTTTCTTTTTCATGTTCGCCGAACTTTTGACTGGGAGGGAAAGTACAAGGCTACGATTGTGGACATCAAGAGCAAGGCTCTGCGCGAATGCCTTCAGGATGTTATGGGGAATATCAAAGGTGTCAGCTTAGTGGAGAGCACTCCGAAGTTGGATCCCAATCTGCTGTTCTTGTAAGTTGCAACCTGGTTTTGAGTGAGGCCAGATGCTGACCTTCTCTTCTGACAGGTATCTTGATGACTTCAAGAAGCACCTGAAGGAACTTAAGAAGCGCAAGATCAAGGGTAGCAAGCGGGATCACAAGAAAGAGCAGAAGCGCTTGGGGGACAAGCGTAAGCACCTCAAGGTCCTGATCAAGTATCTCGACAAGGATTATGCCGAGATCAAGAAGAGGTAAGACCTGGAAGCCCTTTGCCATTTCGCGACGACTAATCATGCGGTAGTCTGTACCCGATGCTGCGAAACGGCCTCGTCACGTTCGATTTGCTCTGGGCTCTTTGGAAACCCAATACCCTTGCGTTTGCCCACACCTACAGTTCCCCGGACGAGCCTCGGGTGTTCAAGGTCGAAGTTGCCGAGAAGCACTCCTCCTTCATGAAAGGCGACTACTACTATCTGGAAGGCAAGTACTTTGAGTACGACGGCAAGCAGTTCGGCTACGGCAGCGTCGCCGAGGAGATACCCGAGTTCAGAGGCGCCCGAAGAATCACCAGTTTGAACTGTTATCCGCTCAGCTACCACAAGAACGAAGCCAAAGTGCGCAAGGAGCTGGTGGATCGGGGCAAGAAGTTTGTCTCGCTGGCCGGTGTCTTCTACAAAAGCCACCAAGGCATGGCGTACTACAAGAAGAAGAAGGGAGTTGTCAAGGTCAATATCAATGGCCGGATCATGGTCGACCCTGCTATTCACAGGAGGATCAATCCCAACTACCCTATCTCGATGGTGCGACCGAAGGACCACGAGGGGTATTCGGATGATGAGTCCTCTGATGAGTCGGATTGTAGTGCATGCGGCTCTGATGAGGAGGAGGAGGAGGAGGAGGAGAAGTACAAGCGGAATCCTCGCCTTTACAGACAGAAGCGGGCCGGTAATGAGACCAACGCGGGAGAGAAGTTGGAAGAGGTGTCTGCGCAGAATGAAGAGACTGCTGAAGAGACCAAAGAGGGAGAGGATGCGGAGAAAGAAAGACCGACAAATGGCGTCAAGGATGGCAAGAAAATCCCGGAGTTCAGTGAGGAGGATTATCTGATTGCCTCTCCGGTGGTGCTTGGGTTTTCTTTTGCCGAAAAGCTCTGGCTCGAGTTTACTGTGTCTGGCGTCAAGGAGATTCAGTGGAACGAGACGGCGTATGACTCGCTGGTTCTGGAGTCCAAGACGAAGGATATTGTCAGGGCGCTGGTGGAGTCTCACAAGTACCATGCGGCCGAGAGTATCGATGATGTGATTCAGGGGAAGGGAAGAGGCCTTGTCGGTAAGTATTTCTCGGTCCCATTCGTATGTGTTGCATGGAACTGACGAGAATCTAGCTGTTCTTCACGGTCCCCCTGGCACTGGCAAGACTTTGACTGCCGAGGGCATCTCTGAACTGCTCAAGTGTCCACTGTACATGGTCTCTGCCGGCGAGCTAGGCACTGACTCCCGTTTCCTTGAGAGCGAGTTGCAGAAGATCCTCGATATCTGTCACGCTTGGGGTGCCATTCTCCTGCTCGACGAAGCCGATGTGTTCCTGGAGAAGAGGAACATGCACGACATACACCGCAATGCATTGGTCTCCATCTTCCTCAAGCAGGTTGAATACGTGCAGAACATCCTCATTCTTACCACCAACCGCGTGGAGGTATGTCTTTCCTCTTATACTCGTCACCTTCCTCACTAACATGATACCAGACCTTCGACGACGCCTTCCAATCTCGCATTCACATCGCCCTCCGCTACGACAACCTTGAAGCAAAAGCGAGAAAGGCCATCTTCAAGATCTTCATCGAGCGGGTGCGCGCCCACGAAGGCAGCAAACTGGGACCGTTTACCGACAACGATTACAATGACCTTGCCCGCAGGCCGCTGAACGGGAGGCAGATCAAGAACACGGTTAGGACGGCCCAGGCGTTGGCGGTGAATAAGGGCGAGGCGCTGTGCATGAGCCATATCAAGCAGGTGTTGGATGTGCAGGCGAATTTTGAGAGGGATTTGAAGGGGGGTCCTGGGTTTGAAGATGCCATGAGGGGGTATATCTGAATTTTGATGCGAGTTGACTGTCCTTTGATAGGTCTGAGCTATTTTTCAAGGCCTCTTCGCTATCTTTTGAACCGTTTTCCATATTCTCAGAGGTCTAATAACTAGGTATCTTTTGAGGCTTACTTCCTGCTGTTCAGTGCTAGTTGTTGTTGTTGTCAAGGACGTGCGTGGTATGTAAGGTGGTGGGTTAGTTATATTGTTAAATCGAGCATCTGATACCATTTACACAGTCTAGTTTCTTTTTTCTTTTGCATATAAAATTCTGATCAGTTCCCGTCCACCACTGTCGAACCCGTGACATGTAGGGTTTGGACAAGGATCCATCTCGAGCAGATATTCCAGACCCTACAAATTGTAAAAGGTTAAGGTGCATCAATCTCATCATCATCCTTTAGGTGCCGTCGGTGTGTTTAGGTACGCATCTCGATCCTCACCAGCAGGACTGCAAAAGCCCTTGGCGGATAATGCGATTCGGGAGGAGGGTCAAACTCGCAGTCACCCAGAAAATGGTGCAAACTCCTTGTTGGTTCTGAGACATAGGTATCATGATTCTTTTAGGATTGCGACATGCCCGGAGTGACCACTTGGGACAACTCTGGAGATATTAGCTTCTATATAGGTAAGTTGGGATAGCCATGACTACCTACTGATAGCTTGAAAGCCGGACTCTATCGGTAAATCACAAACTCTCATCTTCCCGTAGGTATTTTGTAACCAAAAGACAAGCACGAAGCACTTTCAGGACGAGGTCAGCCTGAACTGCCTTGGGTTACCAGTTGCTCCACAGGAATAGAGGATAGCACGCAGCGAAAGCTTCCCTACTCTCTATATCGTTCCAAGACATTTAAGCAGACTCGAACCTTCTGGCATCTCAAATGTCATATCAACAATAGAATAGGGGGGAAAGGGGGCGTAGGGGAGATAAAGCGGGGGTGAGCAAAAAGAGCGACCAAGCTGGGACTCGAACCCAGAACCTTTACCAGCTGGAGATTTAACTGAAAGTTGAAACCGGAAAGTAACGCGCTACCATTGCGCCACTCAGCCTGAATGTTTTTGGGAGCTGAATGCAGGGCCTATGATGGACACAAGAAAAGCAGGATGGCTTAGCCCCTGAGTTCACCCCTTGATTATCCTTGGAGATGACAAGCCACGTCCATTCATCACAAGGTTCGCTGTATAAGTACCTAGGAATACAACTGATTCAAGCCCACCCATCCGAATGACTAAAGAATCTCACATATCGACCGCCACAAGAGAAGTTTCTGGTCAAGTTTAACAAAGACATTAAACGCATTCATTCATAAACTCATACAACAATCCGACCTACCATCCGCCATCCACCACACTCAAACACCCTATTACTGACTCTTCTCCTTCGCCAACGCTTCCCTCCTGCCCGTGCTGTTAGGGTCCAAATACGGCCTCTCCCCCAACCCCACCGCCCGGTTGCCAAACCTCTCACCATACTCCCCACCAAGGTAATCAAACGTCGCGCTATGGAACGTGCTCCTGTTATCCCAAATCGCAATGTCATTCCTGTTCTTCCACTGCAACCTCACAGTCAAATCATGGTTCCTGTACACCAAATCCAAAAACCACGTCAGCAGCGCCTTGGACTCCTCCTCAGTAACCCCATTGATGTGCTTGACATGTCCCCCGACAGGGAACAGCGACTTCCAGCCTGTAACAGGATTGGTCCTGATCACCGGGTGAATAGCCTTGAGCTCGGTGCCAATGTTTTCCGGAGCACCGCGGGGCTTGTCGTAGAGCTTGAACCCGGCGGCCTCGGCGACCTTGCCGAAGCCGGGCTGCTGGAAGGTGACGGTCAATGACTCGAGGAATTTTTGATAGGGCTCGGAGAGGCGGTCGTAGAGCTCGTAGCCGGAGGCCCAGAGGGTGTCGCCGCCGGTGGTGGGGAGCTCGACGAGGCGGAGGGAGCTGTAGTCGGCGGGGATGGGCTCAAAGGCGATGTCGGAGTGCCATTGGCCGGTGGCTTGCTTTTTGGGGGAGAGCTCGTCGGCGACGGCGCCGCGGGCGTAGAATTTCTTGTTCTGGATGGAGGAGATGGTGCTGATTTCCGGGTCGTCGCCGCCGAGCTCACGCTCCGAGTTGAGGAGGGGGTGAATGTGCAGGCCTGAAGTGGCGGGGCGGCCGGTGAGCTCGCCGAGACGGAGGATGAGCTTCTTCTGAAGCTCGTTGGTGAGGCCGTCTTGAGCGCGGAAGAAGACGACGCCGCGCTGGGAGATGGTGATGGCGAGCTCGCGGAGGAGGTCATCGGAGTTGGGAGCGTTGAGCCACTCGACGACGTTGGCCTTGGGGAACTCCTTGCCAATGACGGGTGTGACCTCGAAGGACTCGAATTGGTCAAGGAGTCCAGTGAGCTTGAAGGGTGCTGGCCTCTCAGGGGTAGCAGCGGCACCCTTCGTGACGATGGGCACCACAGGTGTTTGAGTCTCGACCGCGGAGGGAGCCATTGTGTGTTTTTCTGATATGTTCAAGATGTGAGATGATGGTGAGGAGGATTTGAGATGTCTGGCATTAAGAATCTTGCGTCTCTTATACAACCACCCATTACCGGTCAAGTGCGTATCACCATCCACACCAACATTGTGTGAGGGTGTGCAACCCCGCGCAACACAGTTGCGAAAGTCGCATTCCGCAGGCTGTTCAAACAAGACAATGGACCTCCAGTGTACCGTATCCGGCTTCCTCGAATCACTAATCGCCAGCAGGAATGGCGAGCTCCCAATAGCGCATTCCGTGATGCTGTCGAGCCAGGACGCTGTCCGGACTTAAGGTGGCTCCACAGAACAAAGCAACCCGGCGCCGAGGGCCATGAAACTGCGGGGTGAGGAAACGACATCCGGCTGCGGAAGGCTGCATTCCCCGTGCTAGGAATCAATTGATGCTGCGTCTTACCCCCACGTTTACCTGTCCGAGCCGGCGCCGTAGCCCCAGCAGCAGCCACAGTCAAGGGTGGCAGCCGGAGATAATGCAAGACGAGGAGTTCTGTCAGTTGAGTAGGTCATGTCGCCATATACTTTTATCTCGATAACAGGAAGAGTAACATATGGCCAATTGGAGCTGACTTGTGAGTAGAGCGTTGCAAACCACTGGCTCGTACTTGTGTCCTCGCGTCAGGGGCCAAGCCGATCACGAATCATCACGCCATCGCGATTCCACCAACCCGCAACACCACACTCAATTTTGCCCCAGAAACAACTGCTGTTAATGCCGAGGTTCCAACGTAGCGTTTCAGTCGTGGGGTTTTCTTATCAGGGGTCATGAGATCAGTCGCATCTGAGAGCCGTTGTCGGAATCTCGTTCTTCCAGGGCTGATGCTCTTTGCGTCGGCACTCCCCTGACATCAACATGGCGCAGACGGCCTTCTTTGCCATGCCTTGAATATCTGCTAGTGCATCGGAATGAAGAGTGCTCAATTCTTGCCACTACGGCCTAAGATGGCCATAAAACACACCCAATGTGACCTGTAGAGCTAGAGGGCAGAGTCTGGACCGATGGCTTCGTCTTGTGCACGACAAGCTTCGTCCAGCTGATAGCCACGTTCTTGTCCGTGGCGTCTCTTGTCTTCAAATCCAGGGTCCAGACCTTGACCCTGTCGTTCATTTGAGCTGCCGTCTTCCGTCCCGGATTTTGGCTGAGGGTACTCTCGAAAGGGGCAAACCGCCTGAACGGGACACTGTAGATGTCGCCATCAGTGTTGAGTGGGGGCGAAGAACCCGGCGGTGGGGTTGGACCACCGACAACTGTATGCGATGTGCAAGCCAATATGCATCGATCTGCTCCCTACCCGGTACGAATGGTCCAATACCTCCAAACGTGATTCTGCAGGCTGTATTCGCCATGCCATGTACCCGTGAAAGTCGTGATAATTCCCGTAGTGTAGCAATCAATATCTCCAGCCCTGAAAGGTGAGTATAAAGAGGGATGTCTCTGGCGATGATACCGAGTGAAAGAAGTGCCGATCCACAGCAGCGGCCAGTCTTGCCCCTTTTGCATCAGGTCTGACACGAGACGAAGCAGCCAAAACGACTCAATGGCCACCGTCCTCACACGAGAGAAGGCCGCTCCTCGGGTCCCTATTCCCGGGAGTGACTTGGAGAAGAAGGATTTCGATGCCTCTTCCACATCAGTCGCCTCTATTCCCCCTCTTGGTGAACCCATCGACAAGAAAAAACACTTCTGGCAGCGCAGTAAGCCATATGACGCCGATGCCATCGCAACCCTGCCTAGTGTTTTCGATGATCCCGAGACAGCAGAGAAATACCAGCCACCAGCAAAATGGTAAGCGCTCCCATGCTGACAGTGGTCGTCATACCAGCCCTAACATTTGCTTCAGGGAAAATACCCACCGCTTCGATCCCCTCGCGAGGTGGACCTGGGGTGAAGAGAATAGGCTGATCCGAAAGATTGATTTCCGTATCATGGTGTGGGCTTGCATCATGTTCATGGCTCTGGAGCTTGATCGTGCCAACATCGGCCAAGCCCTAACGGACAACTTCCTCCCCGAGCTACGAATGGATACTAATGGTGAGTAAGACTTTGCCATAGAACAGAAGAGAGCATCACTGACACTTACCCAGACTACAACCTTGGCAACACTGTCTTCAAGCTTTCCTTCCTTTGCGCAGAACTGCCATCTCAGCTGGTTTCCAAGTGGGTTGGACCTGATCGATGGATCCCAACTCAGATGGTGCTCTGGTCACTTGTCGCCAGTGCTCAGTTTTGGCTTTCCGGCCGCACCTCATTCCTTGTCTGCCGTGCGCTGCTTGGTATGCTTCAGGGTGGCTTTATTCCAGACGTAAGAAGTGTCGTCCACCCCCTTTGTTGAAGTGCTTGCTAACAGCGCTGCGCAGATCATCCTCTACCTCTCATACTTTTACAAGCATGCCGAATTGACCATCCGCTTGGGCTACTTCTGGACCGCAATGAGTATTGCTGATATCATATCGGCGCTCTTGGCACAGGGTCTGCTGCGCATGCGTGGCGTCGCGGGCCACTCGGGTTGGAGGTGGCTGTTCTTGGTCGAAGGACTGCTGACTCTGATCATCGGTGTGATGGCGTACCTCTTGATGCCCCCGGGACCTTGCCAGACCGCAAGCTGGTTCAGAGGCAGAGGCAAGGAAGGGTGGTTCAACGAAAGAGAAGAGGTGATCATGGTGAACCGGGTGTTGCGCGAGGATCCTAGCAAGTCGGATATGCACAACCGAGAGCGCATTACGATTGGGTTGCTGTGGAAGAGCTTGAAGGATTACGACTTGTGGTATGTGCCAGTTGTTGCTTTCTGCCGTCAAGACTGAAACTAATATTGTTGCAGGCCACTATATGCGCTGGGTCTTGTCTTCCAGATTCCATTCGTGCCTGTTGGGCAGTATCTGACCCTTTCCCTGAGGGCTCTCGGCTTCGACGTCTTCCAGTCCAACTTGTTAACCATCCCCTACACCGTGGGCCATATGATCACCATGTTGGCGGTGGCGTACGCAGCCGAGAAGTTCAGCAACTTGACAGCGCTTTCTGTGACAAGTCAGATTTGGGGCCTGCCGTTCCTAATCTTCTTCAACGTCGCAGACCTTGCCAAGACCAACCGTTGGGTGATCTACGCTGTCACAACGCTGCTGCTGTCCTTCCCTAACCCGCATCCGATCCAGGTGGCGTGGAATTCTCGGAACGCAAACTCGGTCCGTTCTCGAACAATCTCGGCTGCGGTATATAACATGGCAGTTCAGACGTCTGGCATCATCGCCTCAAATATCTATCGAGAAGATGACCGAGCATCGATGTACAAGCGCGGTAACAGACAGCTGCTTGGTATTCTCTGTATGAACATTGTCGTGTATGCGTTGGTCAAGCTGTACTATGTCTGGAAGAATAAGTCGAGGGACAACAAGTGGGCTGCCATGACCGAGGAGCAGAGACTCGATTACCTGGCCAACACGAAGGATGAAGGCAATAAGAGGTTGGACTTTAGATTTGAGCATTAGAAGAGAAAGGCATGAAGTAAATGATCATACCGATATCATAGA